CCCCAAAACCCCAAAACCCCATTAGCAAACATACAGTTATTAAAAAAGTATTAACAAGCAAAAAAAATAAAATAAAAATTAATGGACTAAGACTCCAGCTAACTAAATAACAATAACTCAAGACTCTAATCAAGTGCAATGAATGATGGAGAGTACTTGTCGCCTAGAGAAACTATGAATAGCATAAATAAGAACCAATGAAGTAAGAGCATGGCAGTAACTAAAAACAAGAAAAATGCCAAGAATTAATATGGAAATAATAGGTAATCAAAGAAGAAAATGGAGGAACAGTTAAAGAAAGATGCCGAAGAGAGCAAGGCTAACTCTTACTTTTCATGCAATTGCTAAGTTTGTAAGCAACAAGTAACAAAAGGACATCGATTTGAAATAAAAAAACTAATGGATATGAAATTATTAGAGGGAAAAAAAACAATGAAATTCTCAAAACTTATTCAGTGCATGCTTCCACCAAATGAGAAAATTAAAGGTTGCCAAGTGCTATTCCCAGATACAGTATTTTTCGGTCATGGAAAACCTTAATTCATTGCCAAATGCGACAAGGAGGGTTGCTTGATGGTTATCTAATAATAATCTAAGCTAGCTCTACAAGATATAAGATAAAAATTCTCTACAATAGTAAGAGAAAGAAAGAAGGAAACTCAGCCAATAATTTTTCAGAACAATAATTCATTAACAAGAAATGATCACAATTAAGAAACGAATTAGAATACTGTGAGTTTTAAGTTGCCTTAAACATCTCCTAAAAGTAAAACATCTATGGCTTAGAATACCACTATAGACGAAGAAAATCAAAAACTGAGTAATGATGAAAAATCTATATTCTATAAGGATACAGCTGTTTTTAGATTTATTGTTGATGAACCTTAAAATTAGCAGAAATTGAGTACTAATAACTTTGAACCACTATAGGATGAAAAGGAACTGAATTTCACAATGAGCAATGCCAATCTTAAAGAAGATGAGGAGGATGATTAGTTTTCAATGCCTGCTGTTAAAGTTGTTAAGGACACTGAGTTCATTAATGAATTCAGAAGAAGAGCCAATGATGAATTTTGGAGAACTGTAGATTGCATCCAAACAAGTATCAAAGCCAAAACAGGAATAGGTATCCCAATATTTGTTAATTTTCTCGCACCAATCAATGAATAAGATCCTAGCAAAGAAATAGACTACTCTCATTTCAAAGTAATGTAAGAAGACTTTGAATTATTAAAGAATGAGGAAGATGAGTAATTCTGCTATAAGTAATGCCTCAAAATAGCTTACTATGTCAGTAAAGTTTATAATAAAGTAAGAAAACCATTATTTATAATACAAATAGGAAATACTTCAAATGAAAGCAGAGTTTCTCAAGGATGAAAATGGAAATATTTGGTTTTTCTATGCATCAAATATTAGAACTAGGAAAACTAGTACTAGAGCACTACCTGCATATAATATGAAGAATTCAGCTTCTCAAAAAGCTAATGTTTAGAAAGAGTAGTTGATAGCAGAAATAGATTAATATGAGCAGGAGTAGAATGTGTAAGATTAATGGTATTTAAATCATTTTTTCATTTAGAAATCAAAATAAATCCATAGGTAGAATGTTAAATATAATGGATTCATACTACTCAAATATGAAGGTTGATATGGGTATATTAGAGAAGAAAAACTACGAGGAAGAGGACTCTAAGTTAGATGAAGTATTAAGAACTCTTAGACCTAATACAACTGCTAATAATTTTAAAGAATTTTTATCAAGACAGGATAATATTAATAAAAGCACCTATTGGAAGAATGTTGCAAGAAAATTAGATGATAATTAATAATCTCAATAGCAGATATACATGAATAAAAGGAATATTACATAGGATTCAAAGAAGAATTAATAGATTTAGAGCCTAATGAATGCATTGGATGTTAGCTCATTGGGCTAGAAAGGTAAAGATATTAAAAAGCAAGACTTAATGAATATCTTTAATAATATGAATAATAGTACTAACTTCTCAAATCAATACGATTCATAATAGAAAAGTATTAATCTACTTGGTCAGACTCAAAGATCATTATTTTAATACAGTGGTCCCTATGGAAGTTAATAATAATCAAACCACCAAGGATAACGAGAACAAAGATCTCATTTCAAAGCAGAGTTAGTGAGAAGTGAATTGCTTAGCAGAAGTGATTTAATGAAGTTATATTAACCCCCTCTTAAGAAATCTCAACTCCCGACTAATAACCCTTTTTACACTAAAACTATGGTCTCTAACATAAGATATAACTAACAATAGATAAATCTAACTTAATTTAGAAGTAACATTATCAATGATAATCCAAGAAATATGTACAATGACTAGCAGGATCTATCAAGGTAGAGAAGACATGATTCTTATGGAACTTAAAATCAGACTTCAATCAACAATAATAATTCTTTGTTAAATTAAAAGCAGTACTAGCAGCAAATGTATATTTAGGATCCAAATATTTAGAAAATGACAATCAAGACGAATTCAAGCTATAATGGAGATGTGTAAAGTTTGCATAGTACTTCATTATACGGTTAATCAGAATAATAAAAATAGAAATTATTGAATTGGAGTTCTTATTAGGGTACATAAAAATTAGCTAAATAAATCACTAGGCGGATGGAATATTTGAAGTGTATGGAGACATTTAAACATTAAGAAACTTGAGATTGTACGTCTTTTGATGCCACTTATTGAGATCACTATAAGAACCAGGTCCTGGTGACTTCTATTTAGGATCGGGGAATCTGTCTCCTCTGCCAAACATTTTAGAATCCTTAACTGACTGAGGTTGATTATCCAAGATCTTGAATTTAGTGCCTCCATAATAGCCTGGTCCCATATGTATAGGTGCTATAATAATTATTTTTAAGATTTAAAACTTACTTGAAGTCTCAACTAATATAGTCCTTGGTGAAACATTTGGTTCATTTTTCTCTTTTTTACCTCTCATTACACTGTTGTTGGCACTCATAGTCTATGTTTTCTTCGCCAAAAGAGAAAAGTTATTTGGAGCTCCTCCAGTAATTTTTTAAATCCCAATAGACTTGAATTCTTGGGTGTTATAAGCCCCCGTTCCTGGAACATCCTTATCTATGGGGAATACAAGTTCTTTTTTAACTCCAGATCTGAAACTAGCATGTACCTAACTAATACTTCTAACATTACAGGATCCCGGTAAAGGATATTTTCCAGGACCAGGAATAGCCTCATCTCTGACCTTAAACCTATCTATATTTGAAGCAAAAGGCTGTTTTCCAATTAATTTAGTATCCTAAATAAATTTCAAAGATTCTTCAAGCTTATAGTCTCCTGGACCAGGGATTTCTAGTCTCGTCTTATTTAGCATTAGATTATTCTTTTGTCTTGCTATTCCCATAAAACTAGCAGATCCTGCCAATTAGAAATGCTAATTTCTTTAGCTGCTAATTTCAGGGTTATATTAGCCAGGCCCAATTTAAGCAGTACTAGTTAAAGGTGCTTTAAATCTCTCTATTGAAGTGCCAAAAAATTGAAACTGTTCTAGTTTTCCTGAGTTCATACCAAATTTATTGATGTGCTCTTCTTTAAGATACTATCCAGGTCCAGGACTTGCTTCAAGTTTCTTACTAATGCTAGGATCCTCATATTCCTCACTATCTGAATCAAAGTCATAGTTATCTTTGATTGATCCTGCATTTTTCTTCTTTTTTACTTTATATAGTTGAGAATTTTGACCATCTCGAGGGATAGTTGGATTATAAATCTTTCTATCAATATCTTTAATGATGTTATAGCTTCCAGGACCAACTGCTGGCTATGTAGTTCTTGTTGCAAAACCATCCTCAGCAGTTCTCATTGTCTTACTTTAACCGAAACTCACATTTGCCTATTACTTAATTAAAAGTCAGTTTATTACCCTTGGTGATTTTTTAAGTAGGCTATCTTGAACGTAATAAGCACCTGGTCCTAATCTCGAAGAATCATTAACAACCATTTTCACCTTAGGATTAACCAATACATCACCTGAAAATATAATTCTAAGAAATTACCTGATTAATGTTTTCCTCCGAAATTATTTGAGCTCTCATCATTATCAATTTCAAGATTAGGTTACAGATACCTAGATGGAATACTTGGAATTGAGATGTTAAGGAATCCTGATATGCCTCCCTTTGGTGATTAAAGTCCAGTCATTGATACCTTATTTCTTAAATTAGGAAATTTAGGAGAACTGTTGTTAAAGATGGATATGTTAGTGTTGTATGCACCTGGCCCAGGAGTGTCTTTTATTTGAGCTATAGATGACTCCTTAGGTGCCTGAAACGCATACTGTTACGTCCTTTAATTAACATGCCCATTATCCCTCACTATGTAAGAAGTGTGATCATCGTATTCTTTTTTATAATCAACATTAACAAGATCATTATGTGAAATATAAGCTCCGGGGCCTAAAAATGTTAACTAACGCTAAAATAAAATACCAGGACCAATTTTTTCGGGATCTGAAGGTTTTACGTTTTTCAATTTTCTATCCTCGCCTGCCCCAAAAGCCGGCTACTTTCTTTGAATAGTATTACTTTTTGCAATATTTTAATTATCAGTTGTGTAATCACCTGGACCCAAGTTTTAGGAGCCTGTTTATTAAGGTTGTAAAATCTTCCTGGGTGATTATGATACAAAAGCCATTATTTACCGATTGATTAAATTATTTATTTCAATCTTTTGACTCTTTTATTTGCATTTAAGGGGTTTTGGGGTTTTGGGGTTTTGGGG